CTGTGGGCCGAAGAGAGACCCAGTCTCTCAACTGCATGGTGTCACAGAAATTATCACCATGAGAAACCAGTTACAGGGCGGTGTATGTATATTAGATACTTGGTTGACCTCATCTACAAAATGTCATGCAGCGACATGAACGAGTTTTTCTGACTCACTCTACAAGTCTACATAGATTATCTCATCTCAGTCATGTAATATATATATATATATAATCCCTTTTGGAAAAAGACGGTGTTCTAGAACATTAGGCTGTCTCCCTTTTGGAAAATGTCTAGGCTAACCAATATAATATATACTGTCAAATTTAATACACGTATGAATTTTCACCATCATCCCCCCTTTTAAAAAATGTCAACAGGACGTTTACCTGATCTTCCACTCACCATTCAAACACTATCCGTTATTTATTTTTTCTTATCAGAAAAATTCTATTAGAGGAGTCCCTCAAATATCATTACAAATACTTTTTTAAAACGAGATAAAATATAAAAATATTTAAAAGGATACAAAATACTAGCCCAAAGTGGACGCAACGCAAGTTGGAGAAGCCGGTGGACCGGGCGGCGCAGAGGATCCGCGGCACAGCCGACTGTCGTACTGACCGCGCATGACATACGTATAGGACGACTTTCGCCGCCACTCCCTACCAGCCCATCCTTCTTTTCTTCCCCTCCCCTCCCCTCCCCCCTGCACTGCAGCTGCTCCCCACTTCCCGTTTCGCCCCTCCGCGTCGCTGCTCCCCCTCCGTTTCCCACCCCGCCGGTCGCCGATCCGGCTCACCCCCGCCCCGTTGATTCGCCCCTGTACTTGCGGGTACCATCTTTCTAGCCGTGAGTACCTCTTTGCCTCCTTGCCTGCAAGATTGGCTCTCCTGTTTGCTGCTTCTATTTTAGTTCTTTCGTCCTTGCTTCGTATGGATTTTAAGGGCGTCTTTTCATGAAATCGAAGTTGCTGGATTGCTCGTGGATGTATAAAAGACATGATTTTTATAGCGCGCTTGATAATCTTGTTGAGTACTAATCCGTGTGTAGAGAAGCCCAGGATTTGCGGTGCATGGTGATGTTAGAAGGGGAGACGGATGCTCTTTTCATTAACTTGTGCTGTAATTGATTCTAATCTGGTTGGTACGGTTCGTGGCAATTGGGATTTTTTTTTTTTTTTTTATGAATGGGCCGCTATGAGCACCGCAAGTATTCCGGCTTTACCAAAATCTTCAGTACGGAGGTATGATCAGAGTTTGATCAGATATTCTTCCCCGGAGAACCCGCGGCGTGCTGTTGAGGATTTTATTAAAAAGTGAACTCCCTTTTCTTTTATTCTGGCGCGTCAGAGCTGTGTAGTTTGGTCATCTTTGTCTTGGCATTTGTGGTGTGTTTATTTAGTCTTTGATATGCTGATATTTTGGATAATCGATAGTCGGTCTTTTTTTTTTCTTGCGTGGAACATGGCAGTCAGTCAACGTTGCCAATCTTTTTGCGGAAGGGCCTTCAGTCAATATTGCTTAATTTATACGCGTGCTTATTGCTTAGTTGCTTACCATGCACTAGAAGGTGCATGTTAATCGCTAGAGTTTACCCCAAAACATAGCCAATCTTTTTGCGGGAGGGCATTCAGTCAATATTGCTTAATCTATAAGCATGCTTAGTTAGTGACCAGTGTTTTCCTCGTAACCTGTTTAAAGTTTAATCCAATGGCTGCAACATGATAGAGAGGATTATTCTACTTCCATCTTGATTGGACTACATAAGTTTGCTTGAGTTTCTGATGCGTCATCCATCATCTAACACATTCTAGTACTAAGCCTACGACGATTCAGGATGTTATTTCTTTTGAACGTAAAATTGGCAGGAGGTTAACCAGATGTAGAAGAAGGGTTAGGCCTAAGCCAAACAACAGAAAAGGGGAAAAAAACTTTACAATGGCCACCGTGCCGTGAGGGGGTTTAGGCCACTGGGATCAGATCGCCCACTCTCTTTGCTGCCTGCCCTTGCCCAGAATGATTCAGGGCTCAGTAGTTCAAATGTTTAATCATATAGTGATGCCTACTCAGTGTTGCGGTTTCCCTAACGAATGTCCATTAACTTTTCTTTGTGGAATAATCAAAAGAAGAATGATGCATTCTGTTTACCCAGACAACTGAAAAAGTGCTGGCAAGTCAAAAGTAGCTTTATATGTTAGAACACTGCTAGTTGTGATTCCATGGTCGGTCGGTTAGTTGATAAACTGTTTCCTTATATTTCAGGTAGTAGACGGTTTTGTCAAACAATTCAATCAGAGGAACCCGCATGTTAACCTGAAGTTATCTGAGATTCTGAAGCAATTAAGGCTCACAACAAGTTTAGCCTAAAAGGTTGAAAGGGAAAAGTTATGTCTTTTGCTAGGCGACTGGACCCGTCAGCTTACACGGACAATCTATACATTCATAAATTTGCCACACCAAGCTCAAGCTTTGCTGCTCAAAGATTTTCCTCTGATAAACAGTTGTTCCGTTATGACCCAGAACCATACAATGAGTATGGGCATATGGGTTTCACTGGAGCACCATCCACTGCATTTCAAAACTCCTTTTGTAGTCAGCAGGCCTCACTAAAACCATACCATGTAACTGATGATGGACGATCTCCAAGTGTTGCAGATACTCAGTATAACTCATGCTCTGATGCAGCAAAAGATTCACCAGTGGTTTCCAATGTCTCGCAGCAGAACTCCCAGTCTGTATCAGATGGTCAGAGTTCTGAAATCGAAGTAGAGTTCGATGAAGATGACATTAGGCTGAAGCTTCAGGAGCTGGAGCATGCTTTACTTGACGATGGTGATGATATCTTATTTGACATTTCCCAGGCAGGTAGCATTAATGATGAATGGGCTGACCCCATGAAGAATGTATTGCTTCCAAATTCACCAAAAGAATCAGAGTCAAGCATCAGTTGTGCTGTTAGCAACAGTGGAGCTCCAAGGACTCCAAAGCAATTGCTCTTTGACTGTGCTGCTGCATTGTCTGAATACAACACAGATGAAGCACAGGCGATCATAACAGAACTCCGACAGATGGTCTCCATTCAAGGGGACCCTTCTGAAAGGATTGCAGCATACCTGGTGGAGGGCCTTGCTGCAAGAATAGTAGCTTCAGGGAATGGCATCTACAAGGCTTTGACATGCAAGGATCCTCCAACTCTGTATCAACTTTCAGCAATGCAAATCCTCTTTGAAATATGCCCATGCTTCCGTTTGGGCTTCATGGCTGCTAATTATGCTATAGTTGAAGCTTGCAAAGGAGAAGAAAGACTGCACATTATCGACTTTGACATCAATCAGGGCAGCCAGTACATTACATTGATACAATTTCTGAAAAACAATGCAAACAAGCCGCGCCATTTGAGGATAACTGGTGTTGATGATCCTGAGACAGTTCAGAGGCCCATTGGAGGTCTGAGGGTCATTGGGCAACGCCTAGAGAAGCTTGCAGAGGACTGTGGGGTCTCTTTCGAATTCAGGGCTGTGGGTGCTAACATTGGGGATGTTACACCTGCGATGCTTGATTGTCGTCCTGGTGAAGCACTTGTTGTCAATTTTGCATTCCAGTTGCACCATCTTCCTGATGAGAGTGTTTCAATTATGAATGAAAGGGACCAGCTGCTTCGTATGGTGAAGGGACTCCATCCTAAGCTAGTGACCCTGGTTGAGCAGGATGCCAATACCAATACTGCACCGTTTCTGCCAAGGTTAGTGACTTTATAAAAAAAAAGTCTCGAGTCCACTCTAGATGCTAATCTAATGTTGTACTGTGGATTTTATATGTGAACCCCATGTATGTTTTGATCTTATGACTCCTACAGTAGCATTAACATCTGACTTTCACAGGTTCCGTGAAGTCTATGATTACTACTCTGCGCTTTTTGATTCTTTAGATGCGACACTTCCCAGGGAGAGCCCAGATAGAATGAATGTGGAGAGGCAATGTCTTGCACGAGAAATTGTTAACATCTTGGCTTGTGAAGGTCCTGATCGTGTGGAGAGGTACCACCTGTACCCAGCCATGTTTTTACCAGTCCTGCACCCTGCATTCTCACCCTTTTTCCTGAAATTTAAGAAACTGATAGTGAAGTTGTTACATGTTGTAGGTACGAAGTTGCTGGGAAATGGAGAGCAAGAATGACAATGGCTGGCTTCACACCATGCCCGTTTAACAGCAATGTCATCAGCGGAATAAAGTCGATACTGAAATCATATTGTGATAGGTACAAGTTCCACGAGGAGCATGGCGGGCTTCACTTCGGCTGGGGGGAGAAGACTCTCATTGTCTCCTCCGCATGGCAATAGAGAATTAGAGCTCACGTATGGAGCTGCATTAGTATTGTTGTATTTTAGGAGCTTCCGGTGCAGACTGTAAAAAGATGTGACCGCTGGGCTGTTAACTGAACCTTACTTAATCGTAGATCTATGCTTGTCAGAATAATTGAGTTTGGCTGATTACCCGGTGCTAGTAGCATCTTGTTGCGTGATGAATCTGTATTTTAGGATAGAAGAATCATGACATGGTGACTCTACTTTGTGTATAAAAAGTATGCATTACTTAACTAGAAGATATTTTGTACTCACCTGCAGCAAACAATTCTGAATCAGAAGCAAGATCCACGCCAGATTATCATGATATTCAGTACATCAATGCAAAACGTGAACTTTGCTGAGAACATATTTGACATCAAGACTTAAGATTATCCAATAGAGTCATCATGTAATTACATCAATTTTCTGTACAACAATTTGAAAAGCGTACAAAGCTCCTGTACAAGCTTATGAAAGCTGGATCAACACTATACAGGTATCCTCTTCGGAATCAATACAGGTATACTTGTATACCCAATAGAATCGAAGTATTATCACAATAAGCAATATACAGGTGTCCTCTTCAGAAATAATCCATTTATATACTCAGAGAATCTGAATATTTTGGCTCTCACAATATGACATATATGGGTATAAGCTCAATCATGTCATTAGGGTAAGCTGTGTCGTGAATTCAATGAATTATAATTAGTATTTGGTTGCATTTTGACCCGTTTAGAGGACTCCAAAAGTCTGACAAGCGATGGAAGAGGTCTAGGAACAGGGATATTCCTTGACCTGTAAAGCCTCTTCAAACTTGTATTCAAACATTTCGATGATCCAATAATGCACAAAGGTTCCTTTTGACAATCAGTTCTTTCTGCACTTCTGACCATGGTAAGGTTTAAGTCTTCCGTGGAACTCGATGATTTTGACTCCTCTGCAACTTCTGACTTTTCAAGTTGATCAGACACCACTAACATATTGTGTCGAACAGCAGGTAATGACTTCACTTGACACGCTTCTAATTGCGTTGAGGTTGTTTCATGCTTACAGGAAGTCACATCATCTCCAACTGCCATGGGATCCTGCTGGGAGGCTGGTGGTTGTTTCGTATCGAAATCCATAGAAGAATATGTTTCAACATCTTCACTACTACCATGAACCGAATCTGTTGGTGCACATGCCCTGGCTTCTTCTAAGGCAATGTACTCTTCTTTCATAATGTCAATTGCTTGAGAGGCAAACCTTGCTCTTCCAAACAATGTAATGTCTGGTTCTTCAGGTGGAGGGGGTGGCACAAATTTCAGTTCAAGGGTGCTTATTACATTTAAATATGTACATCCATCGCTGGTGGAAGATGAATGATCATCATCAACAACAAAACTTGAGTTATCTTCGTTTGTCTGTGTTTCAGACACAAGCACTGAACAAGGGGAGGACACTGACTTTTCAAGAGGATCTCTGAATATTTTCCACAGTGGATCATCAGGTGTTAAGCGGGTCTTGAAACAATGTTTCTTTACATAGCTCAGCTCAATGGCAAAGCACGGCGGAGTTGTTGAAATAACCCACTGAGGTTGGAGAAGTTGTAGTGCCTGCTCCAACTCATCACGAGAGGAGTGAATGGAGAAACAAACATGCCAGATGCCAAACTCATCCTGCTCAGCTTCTGTTAGGCTGGGTTTCTTCTGGTTTCGAGCACAGCTTGCATACCACTGTGTTGATGGACGAATAAATAAGGGTTCAGGTTGGAGATTTGCCCTTGCCTCTGCAAGCTCTTTGCTTGCTCTATCATATAACTGGTGGAACCCAACCATCTGCGGGGTTAAGAAGGTCACAACCGACAAGGAAGAAAACAAGGGGCCACTCCATGTGATAGGCACCAGAAGAAATGATAGAAGGTGCAGGACTCAGCATCAGGTACCAGCCAATTGTGTGTAATTTTTTTTTTACGAAACAAGAACCTTGATGTTATGATACTAACCTAATGTACATTAGGATTAACATTAACTTATTTTGCCTTAAAATGGAAACGAATCAGCTAGCTTCCATGTGCATTATAAAGTCATAGTGACTTGACTACTGTGAGGCAAATATTTCCCTTATGGGCAGGCTTGAAGTAATACAAAAATTGCAGAATTAGGAAGACGGAAAAATGTGTTTCATGGAATAATATACCTGAAAGCGAGAAGATGAATCATTAGTGATGATTTCAGGGGCTGTCAGTGATAGTGCTTTAAAACAATCCAATTTCCAGTCAACATAAATTTTCAATCCGAAAGTCCGTGACACCTCAACTAGTATATCTTCGTGCCCAAGAAGATCACAAGCAAGGAAAACAAATGGTGCAAGTGGATGCTTCCATATGCAAGCTATAACCTGCAATCACTGAATCATTTCTCAATTGTAACTATCCCTGTTGTCAGAAGAACACTTCTACAAGGTACATGAAGAACATATCTAATCACAGCACAGAGAACAACCTGCCGGATTGCTGACTCCTTGCTCGGTAGCTTGAGGAAGCATTTGGAGAAGGTGCAATCTAGGAATACAAAGTCAAGTCGGCAAATGTTTTCGTTTCCTTTCTTCGTTATGTACTTCATTGGCAAATCCTGTATGCAGTCTGGTGTAAGCCGACAGTCCCCTGTGTGAAGTATGGTACCAAATTGACCCTCAAACAAGAACATGACTGCCCCTGAAATCACCAAATAGGCCAAGCATAAGACATCCCTTACTCCTAGGAGCACATAACGAGCATACTGTGCTCAAATCAAACAGAACAATGGACAAATGTTCTCTACACTCTACACAAAGAGATAGCATCACATTACATTTACATTTTTGCTAGGTTTCATATCAAATAAATCGCAGAGCATTCTTGACAAGCTCCTATACCAAGTAAATTATACTCCCTTATAATTACCATAATGACATCGACAGAAATGGAATAGTTAGAACGAACACATTACCAGGGCAGTGATTTGCGCCGTACGTGGTGACAGAGAAGGCGCCGGTGGGATCATCCAGCACCACCGTCCTCCCCACCTCCATCTCCACGAACTCCCAACTTCCCAACTGCATCACAATTCACACCGCGGCGCAAGAGCCTTTAGCAAAGACACCCCAATAGAAACATTTTGGCGGACAGAACATACAGAGGGAGGGAAAGGGGCTAATTACCTGGGGAAAGTGGCGAAGCGCGAGGTGCAGGGTGAGGCGGGTGGCGTAGACGGTGCCGTCCCCGTCGATGTCGACACCGGAGCCGACGAGGTGGTCCCGGTGCGTGTGGGTGAGGAAGCGGTGGCGCCGGCGCCGGGAGGAGGGACCCCACGTGTCGACGGCGAAGGGGAGCCCCCGCGGCATGTCTATCGGCATTCTCCCCCAGTTTCCTTAGCGAAATTACGGATAGGTCCCTCCCCTCGTCCGGATCGCGGCCGCTGGTCGGTGGGGTCACAAGGGTGGAGTTCTCCTTGACGGAAACAGGGTGGAGTTCGTTGCGTCGGTTTATATGCGCGCGAAATGGGTGAAGCCGGCTCCTTCCTTCGAAGGAAGAGTACGGGTTAAAAATATTATATCATAACCGATAAGTCTTAGCTGAAATCAACGAGCGAACATGGCCATTAACTTGCCGCCTTTTGCAGTTTGGGTGGGTCCCATGTCATCGTTTCCTCGATGAAGTTCGGGCCGCTTTCTCTGTGGTATGTTAGATTCCGTCGCTCTTCGGGCCTCAACACAAAGGGCCTCTAGTGTGTCATATTTTCGAGCCCAACTAGAATTTATGATTGACCCAATGAGATTCCGATCAAGCTCTATTCAGGCTCGGTACAGCTCCGCTTTGTCGGTGTAGTTTTTTTTGTTTGGCTTCATGAGTAGTTTTGCTGAACGGCATGTAGCGTCCGGATAGACGCCCGCGGCGGCTCTGCTTCCAGCGCATGCGAGTGGACGGCGTGAACGTGTGGTCACCACGCGGGCATCGCGCAGGCGTCGGGTAGCGTTCCCCACCGAGCCGTGACGAGACGGAGGGAAGGGAAGGGAAGAGAAAGGAGAGGAAAGGAAAGGAAGGGAAGGGAAGGGAAGGGAAGGGAAGGGAGAAGAGAGGGCGAGGCACGCCGTGCAAGGAAAGCGCGAGGTAGGAGCCGTAGCCCTACGGCAGGCTGCTGTCCACTAGTCATCGGTGTCATTGCAATATGTGCAACACCTCAATCTATTTTTGAAACATTCAGATGAAATATTTGTAACATACGTCTGAAGATAAATGAAACACTTGAAACATACGTCTAAAACATCTGAAAAAACACTTGAAAAGCCATTACAAAGCATATGCAATATTCAGTAGCAACACCCAAAGGCCCTGTTCGCTTCTCTTATAATCCGACTTTTTCAGCTTGTTTTTTCAGCCGGAACAATGTTTTTCTCTCACAACAAATCAGCCGGAAGAATGTTTTGACTTTTTTCAATGGTTTCAGCGAAGCGAACGGGGCCAAAATAAACAAACTTGCAACATGCTTCTGAAAAACAAATGAAACATTTGGATCACGCGCTTGCAACATGCGTGTATAACCATTGCAACATATGCAACATCCCGATCTACTTTTTGCAACATCGATGTGAAACACTTTAAACATCTGGTTGCAACATGAGCTTTCAACATATTGTCACTTGGGCTGCTTGGACGAATGGAGGCCTCGTCATTGCGAGCTTGACGCCGGCGTGGAGCTCGGTGGCGGCACATGGAGCTCGGCCGGTGCCCAATGTGAGGCACCTGCGCCACCTGGGCGAGCACTTGGCGAGGCCTCGAGCACCTGGGCAAGCATGGCGGCAGGTGAGCACCTGCACGAGGCCGTGAACACCCTGGCGAGCTCGGCGGCTTGCTTGACGAGCACCGCTGGGTAAGAGATTTTTTTTAAAGAGGCGCGGATGAGAGCGAGCGGACGGCGCCGTAGCGAATGGGAAGCCGCGTCCGTCCATCCGGACCTCCTCGATAGAGCATTATCGTTTGCCGAATGATCTGATCATATTAATCTGTTTTTAAAAAAATATTGAGTAAAACAACTTCTCACAGTAAGCAGCTCTGGGAGAGGGAGCTAAGAGAAGAGTATTTTAGCTCATCCAATGCAATGTCCATTCTTTATGAAACTGGATTTTAAATAGTTTCACTTAAAAACTGTTGTTTTACATGTTTAGCAAAAACCAGCTCCTAAAGCTATTAGAGAAGCTCTACCAAACAGGACAATGGTCTTAAAAGAACCTTGAGAGAGTGTGAGGCAATCATCTTTTCCACACAGGTGGAGGTCTGATAACCTCTTCACTAAAGTGCGTGCTCCAAGCACACACTCCAGAATTACTGTGATAACTCAGGGTTCAGGGTTTCACCGTGCACGTAAAAGATACATATTGCTTACGCACAGTATCAATTTCTCAGATAGTTTAATACATTTCTAGAGAAATTGGGGTAGATAAGCAGTTGGAGAGAGCCAGAGAAGGAGAGAGATGGAGCAAAAGAAATTCACACTTTGCAGAGACACACAACTTGAGAGCTCTGTGACACAGCTCTGTTCCAGAAGCTACATTGTTAGGGGAGCCTCCGGAGAGAGATCGAGATCAGAGTGACAAACGTAAAAACCCCATAGAAATCAACACCAATCCGATTCACCGACAAACTTATAATTCAGTAGGCAGCCTCATTTTTAGGCTGTTCATCATCAAACCAGCAAAGCCTCGACCGCTTCATCCGCACACGCGCGCATGCAGCCGCCTACACCTGGCTGGCGACGACCTTGCTGTCGCCGACGACGGTGTCGGCGGCGGCCTTGTTGGTCGTGGCGTCGGCCAGCTCCACGGCAGCGGCCACCTTCTTCGCGTCCTCGACGTCCGCGGCAGCAGCGGCCTCTCCTTGCCGGCCGGCGCGGCGGGGCCCTTGTTTTTCCGGTAGATGAAGTACAGGATGAGCTGCACCAGGCCCAGGAAGCTCCCGCACCCGTTCGGGATCTGCACGCACGCACAGACAGCGCGGTTGCAGCGGCGGTGGCTGCGTTAGTAACGGGCATATTTGGACTGCATGAAACTGTCATGATTTCATGATGAAAAATTGGAAAACTTGGCCTAAGATATTTCATCGTAGTTTGTCGCGTTGGTGTACTGAAGTGGAGTGCAGTTTGTTTACTAGCATTGCGACAAGAAAGAGCGCGGCGCTGTTCCTCTGCCTGGTCCAATAGTCCTGAGTGCACAGGGGCACGGCGGCCCATCGGCAGCGCCGGCGTGCGCTGTGCCTGCGCTGCCTCTGCCTGTGGGTGGCCACCGCCACGCCCACGCTACTGGCGCCCATGCCCGTGCATCGGCAGCGGCAGCGGCAGGCATGTGCGCCTGGTTGGGCGGGACACCGAAAGGGCAACCGACGCCGGCCCGGGGGTACTGTACTGTACTGGCCAGAGGCGTTCAATGCTCAATGGCAACAGCTAGCGGTGCAGTATAGTACTGCAGTCGTTTCCAAGTACCCATCGGACGACAGGCGCGCGGCACGTGCGTACGGCCGGCCGGTGTTCAGGTGCAGTTCAGGATCAGAGAGGGAGAAGCCTGCGTACAATGATGAAGGGGTCGCGGCCGAGGAGGCCGTAGATGAACCAGGAGGTGCCGCACAGGAACACGGCCAGGGAGAGCAGGAACGGCATGAACTCCACGCTCTTCGTCTTGATCACCAACCTCTGCACACACGCACAAGCACATGCTTGTTAATTAACTGATGTCGTGGATAGCAAGAGCCAAGGACGCCCGGTCGCAAGCTAGCATCGATCGTTGCTTACCATGATGGAGAGCGGCGATGCGTACATGCAGATGGAGAAGATGGTGGCGGCGAGGCCGCAGAAGACCTTGCGGGCGTTGCCATGGAGGGCCAGCAGCGAGACGAGCACCACGGTGGTGAAGATGGAGGCGACGATGCTGAGGAGGCCCAGCATGCGGAGCCTGGCCCGCCGGTCCACCGCGAAGATGAGGAAGATCACCACGTAGATGGCCTCGATCACCGACCCCGTCCCGTTGATCGTCGACACCAGGATGTTGTTCGGGGACACGAACGGCAGGCCGTACCTGTATGCATATAAATTTCACACAAACGAATCAACACAAAATTCAGACGAATGCATGATGATTGATGAGCTAGCACATCGATCTTCACATGCATGCAAGGGTGCGTGAAAACCAAACGGGACGCCTTGAATTTTCTTGCCCAACCAAATCCTCCATCATCATAACCAAAATCATCCATCAGCATCATAACCAAAAAGAAAAGGCATGAAAACTATCTGTTTGGACCTACAATACAAACACTTGAATGTGAAGCTCCATGTGCGAGCACAAGGGCCGCGAGGCCCACATGTCATCTCCATCCTGGCAATGCCGACAGGCTGCTCCCACGGGCTGTGGTGCAGTGCAATAAAACCTTTTCCCTTTCATTGCAGTCGTTGTCACAGTGCTGGCGAGTGGGTTGGCCAGAGGCTATGCTAAGAGCCAAGTGTTTGCTTCATCCAGGCCAGCAAACCATGCAGCATTTCTGAAATGTAAAACTATACTACACGCCGGTTTTACTGGTTTAGAGCCACTGCATAATATATATCATGTCACAAGAATACAAAAGTATACAGTGTCTACTGTATACTGATTAATCTGGCCACTCTACCATTCTTTGCAGTGTCATAATATATATCATATCACAAGAACCCGCTGAAGAATATCTAAAGCCTCTAATTAATCTGCGAGTTAATTTACTGAAGAAACAGAAATGATGTGAAGTGCTCATCGAAAGGTCGTGTCTCTCTGAGAGCAGTGAGTTACCAAGCTGATAGGAGGCAGTTGAGCAGCGTCATGTTGTAGGGCACGCCGGAGAAGTCCTCCGTCGACCGCTTCCTGATGATCCTCCAGAAGGTGACACTGCAAAGAATTCGCCAGATTTTCTCACCGGTCAGAGGAAACAAACATGCGCCGTGCTGTGCTGCCCCTGACGGCGGAGGCAGAGGAGGCAAGAAAAAGGTGCGGCATGGTTGTGAAGAAGAAGAAGAAGCATTCCGGATGGAGAAAAGATGCTTAGATGCTTGTTTTTAAAAAAAACATGAAATTCAGAGTTTCACTAGAAAGCTAGGATTGAACCTAAAAGATGCTAAAACCTTTCTCTCCCCACTCATCCATTCTCCCCTTGTTCTAGTCTTTGTCATGTAGGAGTAGTAAGTAATATATTGCTTCTCTGCTTTCATTTTTTTACGCTTGGACGCGGACAGTGAGGAACAGAAGGATTCAGGTACATGGAATCAAAAACTTACACAGGCGACAGGAAGAGGAAGAGCGCAATGACATTCCCTAGCAAACAGATCCAATAGAGATTAGACGAACCCACTAAACCACAGCTCAGATAGGTGCAGTATTATACAAGAACAAGAGAAGACCATCATCAGCTAGAGGCAGCAATGGCATGATGACACTGACCAGAAACTCCGAAGAAAAACCTGGCGATATGCTCCATCTCGGACTACGGCCCTTCAACTTCTGCTTTGCTTATCGCTGACCTTGAACCCTCTGCTGCTGGCAGTGGCGGATGCAGGATGGAAACAAAGAGGAGGCTAAATAATAAGGATTTAAGGCTAAGGCTAGAAATTAATGGTGATTTGAGGCTAAGTAACCAGCCCCCCTGCCTGCTGGCCTGAACCCAAACGGAGCAGAGGTGGAAGAGAGGGGGTAGTGGACTGGACTCCTTCACGGTCCAGGGGAGGACACCCAACGAGCAGTTAGCTAGCTCTGAAAGGTTGGTGGGCGCGCAATAGCCAACGCAAATCCGGTGTGTTTGTGCCCGTGTCACTTGGTGCAGCAGGAAATGAGCGGTGTGGCGTATATATAAAGAGCAGACTGCAGAGGAAGGTTGATCTTGGGAGGTAGAGGTAGGACCGACCGTAGGAGAAGAGGCCAAATACGTACGTAGATGGTGTCTGTATGAGAGTTTAAAGTTCGGAGGGAAGCCCATACGTTCTTATCTTCCTTATTAGTCAATTTAGTGAGGAGTCAAGTGCCTGAAAACTGTCATTGTCTGTGGTAAATACGTACGTAAGATAGACAAGCTACACACGCAGCTTCCTGTACTGTACGGCAACATGGAGAAGCATGCGTTATGCGTACGTGTCTCTGCAACACTCGTGCGTCGTCCTACCCTGATGATGATGGCTTGGCACGCAACGGAACGGAAATCTTGTTAAGTTGCTAAACAGGAGCAGGAGCGTACGCTTCTGCAGCGCCAACGGCCAAATCCTCGAGGAGTGGAATGGCACAATCACGAAAGCAGCAGCAGCAGAATTCGCGTTTCTGCTGCGGCCTGCGGCCCCGCCATGTGGCTACGGGCTACCCTACCCGGCCTCACGGGACAAACAGATCCCCATGGCCAACTGACCGCTGACGAAATGGGGATCCTGCCGAGCACGTACGGCGTACCGTTCACGGGATGATCCTCGTTACGCGGTCATGAGATCGGTGGCGAGCGTTACGTGGCACCGTTCGGCGGCGGAGGACCCGGAGCAGCGAGCGCGGCGGTGGCCACGGAGGGTGGAGCCGCGTGGCTGGAGGCAGGCAACACGGCGTTCCGCGCGAGAAGGCGACGACGACGACGACAAGAGTCGCCGCCGGCGCAATTCACGGCTGTCCCGTTCGCGTCCGAGAGCGTTTTGCCGATCCAATCGAATCCCCTGGTCGCAGCGCGGCGGGTGGGCGGCCGGCGCGTGTCCTCCTCCGATCCGTCCGGTCCTCCCTCGAGTCCTTAAACCCTCCCGGCAAGTCGGCAACGAGGTGTGCACCGCACGCTACTGCAATCCAAACCTGGCGTGTCAAGGCGTCGACAACAATGCAGGGTCAAGCTCCCCCTGCAGTGCAACAAGAGCGGCGGTGCACCGTGCACTGGTCTCGACGGAACGGTGGAGGGGCTACTGTCTGCTGTGCTCAGTGCTCAGGTCAGGCATGCATGTGCCATCTCCTGCGTACACACAGGAAGGCGCAGAAAAGAGGTCACTCGTCACCTTGCATCTGCCATCTCCCTACCATACCATGACCCATGCCAGCGCTCTGGCTCGCCAAAAGTGGCCGGACATGGTGACGCGTCTGTTGTGCCCGCCTGCGTGCCCACAGAACATATGCGTTCCACAAGGAAGGTGGTGCTCTGCCCCTGTCGCGGCCGTGCCTGCTGCCTGTCTGCTCCTAGTAGCCCCCCTCCTACACACACCCAAAGACAGTTCTGTGTGCTCCTCACCAAACTACTTCTGGAGGGAAAAAGAAGAAGAAACGACTCACACCACTGCATACACGCGCGCGCGCACACACACACGCCTGTGTTGCTTGCCTTGAAAAGATAACGATCACAGAAGTTCAGGGCACCAATTGAGGGCACGGTAGCACATCTGTGAGCTGTGGTCAGTAGCCATCCATCAGCTTTGTTTGTTTTATCTTCATTTGTCTTTGGTGCGATGTCCAGGCGGTACAATGCATCACTAGGAGTTGGTCCAAAGCTGCTACTGCACGCAATCGCATTCGGAGAAGCCAATCAGCATCCTTCATGTACCGGATGAAGCCCTTCATCAACGGCTAAGTGGAATTTGGCTACCGAAATGATTTGCCCCTTTCGTGTGCAGCGCAGCAAGGACCGATCGTTTTCAGCTCCTGTCCGAGGCCGCCACGTACAATCATTTCGTCCTAGAACGATAAGCGACGCCGGTACATGCATTGCTTGTGGCCCTGGACAAAACAAGAGAGGCCAGTCCATCTGATGGCGCTCTGCGTTGGCTGCATGCAGCGGAACCAGCAGGGACGGATCGGACGGCGACGACGGTGTGTGTCAATGTGTGTGTGTGTGCGCGCGCATCAGTGCATACACGGCGGGATGGCTGGTCGCTGGATATGTATCAGAAATTCAGACATCATGTGTGCGCTGCCGTATTGGCAAATTGTTGCATGCCAACCCAATGATTCGACGTCTTATCCTCCACATGCGACGCGCAAAAGCTTGCAGGCCCAGATAGATAGATGATAGATAGATAGCCTTTCGGTTTGGCTCTCTCCGTGTACATATATGCGTGGGTTTTGATTGATGCATAAAGGTCGTGTCATGCAGTTCAGCATATCTTTCAGCACTTTATCCCCCCTTGATAAACAAGGCGCGCTCTGAAAAGGAATTGCCTTTTGTTTGGAGCAGATATTTCTTCGTGCGGTGACGGGATTCCCTAATAGTCTGTAGTCCTCGCTGTACCTTTAATACACTATATGATTCCTTCGATTTTCAATATATATATGTCATTTCATGAGAAAAGATTAAATCTAGATAAAACTCATTTTTTCTCTCACTTCTTAAACACACGGTCATGTCATCGAAAACGTCTATGTGACAACCTATGTAATGTAAATGAAACTCATATGAAACTTAAGGATAAAAGACGTACTAGTTGCTTGTCCTAAATGCTATTTATTTATATAGAGAAACAAAGGGAGTAGTTAAGTACGAGTACGAGAGAAACCGGCTGAGCTCAAAGTTACTCCTTCAGAAACACATTTAAACAGGTGACAATTCAGTCAACTGATGGATCCAATATATATACATTGTCCTACGTCACCGGATTGATCAGGAGACTCTACTGCTAATTCAGTGTAATGAACACTCGTGCTGCGTAATATACGTCGTATATGGAATCATAACTTCATAAGGATAAAGTTCTGCACGTACGTACACGCGCGCGTCGGTAGCCCGTACGTGCGTGCGGTGCGCGCGCTTTATGCACCGGATAAGACTGTCTCCAACGATATTACCTAAAATATAAGACCTATTTCATGTTTAGATAACACAACAGGTAAATAGTTCTGTACCTATTTTTGATCTTCTCCAACAACAGGACCAAAAGAAAACTCTTTCTGCAAATGAGTATATAAGAGAGAGGATACTCATATTTGGGTTGTGTCTTTACTATAACTCAAAATAGGTCTCACGTATAGAAACTCTGTTATAGACTGATACAGTATCATTCGAGGTCGATTTTGGAAATAAGTGTCCATACGGGACGTCCATTGGAGACGGTCTTTGCCCAGAGATGGGCACGCATGCAGCCACGCACGTCGGCACGTAGGAACTTTGTGAGGCGCACGCAGAGACGCCAGCACTATACTCATCACCAGACGCGCAGCTACGGCCCTAGTGGTTGTTGGCACTAGCTAGCTAGCCTCCGTTGCTTGCACCGATGCAACGCCGAGCAGAGGAAATGGCGGTCCTCATCCGCGCCGACGATCGTCCCACGCCTGGCAAACGTACACCGACTCGGAAACAGCAGGCCGGTGGGAGCATGTGTGTCAAACGGGTCAGATCAGGCCTGTCGATGGCGCCAGCGTGGATAGATGGATCGTTGGGTCGGTGGCAACTCGCGATCTGGATCCATCGGTTCGGGCATTGCCATTGCGCGCGGTGCAGCGGCTGATGCCTTGGCGTTTTCCTCTTCTTCGTCAGCACCGGCGGCCGCCGTGAACCGGGACGGGGACGGGGGTGAACCATGCATGGCTGTGTGCCGGCCCATGCGTACGTGGCGGCATGCATGGCACTCGGATGGATGATCCATCCTAGGGTATAGTAGGCGCCGGCCGCGGCAGCCTAGCTAAGCTAGCGGTTGATCCCACAGGGCCACAACCCCGACGCACCACGCAGCAAGAGATGGACACGTTACTCCCACGCAGCCACGCCACGCATTCTCATACGTACGCCTACCACGCCTCGGAGATACGGAGTATATATAGACTCTCAGTCTCAATGACGCCGTAGTATATACGTGCTTCGTTCGATCGATTCTCTGCTATTTTCATACTTGTCTACGTACCAAGGAACAGATACACGTGCATGTACCCACGATGTACAGTTTACGGCTCGATCGTAGAGTACAGCAACACTGCGCCGCCTAGCTAGCTGCATTGCGCTATCTGTGGCCCATGCTGTGATGTGGCACTGCTGTCCGGTCGGCAGATAAGCTTGACTCGACAACATGTACACGGAGTACTGTACTGTAGGTTGTAGCTTCCGGCAATACTATGGTACTTGTGAGTGCATTGGCGCATATCGAGATTCCGAGCGTACGTGAGTGCGCGCGTGATGATGATCGTACCAAGCAAAAGCAAGCAACAACGGCTGGGTCCAACTCTGTTCGCTTGTTGATTTCAGCTAGACTTATTTAATCAGTCTATAGTGTTTTCCTCTCACAACGAACCAACACCGGCCAACCCAAACCAGCCTAGAAACCAAACGAACACGCCGCAAATCCGACGCACATGGTGCCCGTGCGTGTGCGGTGTGCCGTGCGCCGCGCCGCCGACGGCGGCGAGCACAGATCGTGACCGGCCGGCCGGGGCCGGGGCCGGGACCGGCTAGACCGCGTCACGTCTCACACTCGCTCCGACCCATCAATCAGTCAGGCGCCAGTCACTGTCCAATGCGAAAATATTTTTTCAGAGCAGGTCTGG